GTTCCTTCGTCTATCATCTACAAACCAACACCGATGAAGCCACTATTATCACTGCTGCTATTGCTTGCTTTTTGCCTGCCTGCATCCATAGCCCAGCTGCCGGATTGTAACAAGCTTTATATATTATCCAACAGAAGCATATACGGTTATGATCCTTCTATGCCCATGTCTTCGACTAATCCGGTTTTAAATACGATCACGATTCCGGGAAACGGAGAGGGCCTGGCCATATCCCGACCGTTAAATACAAGCAGTACGGTACCCACGTTTTATACGGTTTACAATGGCACGTATCAATATCATAACGGCACCAATTGGGTAAACACCGGCCACCAGAGCAGTTCGGTGAATATCGCAGCCGGCGGTAAATACATCTATAACCTGGAAGGCGGCAGTGGCAGGGTTTACCGCTATGATGGCACAACTGAAATATTACTCACCAATGTCCCCGCATTATCTACTCCTTATGACCTGATCGCCGATTGTGATGGCAACTGGTATCTGCTAAACACCAGCCCGCCCAATAGTTTTCTAAGGCAGTATGATTCCAGCGGTCGCTTAACCAGGTCGTGGGTGCTCAACAACCCGGGCAATTTAATGGGCAATGGCGGCTTTGGCATTCTGGGCAATACTATTTATTTCGATACCCAATTTCTTTATGGTATCGCCAGTGGTAGTATCACTGCAGATACGGTGTATGTGGATTCTGCCCAGATTACATTTCCGGCCTTTACCATATTCGGGGCTTCAGATTTTGCCACCTGTGCTGCCTCCATTAATTTAGATACACGCATCAACATTGTTGCCAATAGCAATAATGTTTGTACGGGCACACCGGTAACCTTCACCAGTACGACGGTAAACAGCACCAGCTCCGCAACTTATCAGTGGCAGGTAAACGGCGTCAACAGGGGCGGTAATACCAACACCTTTACCTATATCCCTGCCAACGGAGATATTGTCACCTGTATACTTACCAACCCCGGTTCCTGCTCCGGTATCTCTACAGCGAAAAGTAACAGCATCACCATGGTCACCAATAATATCCAGGTACCGCCTGTAGTGACAATTGCCAATCTCAAAGAAGGATTTTGCATTGACTCGGCCAGTGCATTGAGGGCTGTGACTACCAATGCAGGCACCCCTTCGTTTCAATGGTATAAGAACGGCGCTCTCGTGGGCAACAATGCCGTCTATAATGACCCTGCGCTTGCCACCGGTGATTTTATATCCGTGACTATGACCATTACAAATGGCGCCTGCGTTTC